GCGATCAGTCTCGCTGCTGCCCTCCTGCTCCATGTCGTCTGACCCGACCTCTTTCTCACCTCTCGAGACCACACCGTGGGCATACCGCCGCATGAACATCCCTCCGATCCACCCGTGTCATCCCACCCCATCTTGTGGGCGTCGGCGTCCGTCTCCACCCGCAATCGATATCGTCTCCTCTCCTCCTCCTGCGTCTTTGTAACCTGCCGCCAGCTTTCCCGTCTCTCCCCCTCGGCTCCCCCTCTCCTCTCCCAGCCCCCCTCTCCCCCTCACCCACCGCCACCCACACCACATCGCGTACGGACCTCCGTGTGCCTGATCTCCTCCTCCACCCCGGCTCGGGTTCCACTTTAGGAAATTCCCACGCTTCTCCGGAGCGCGTCGTTTGTCGAAACACGCTTCAAAAACCCAAAATGCTCATTCATTTTGTTCCGAGACCAGTCTCCAACCTCGGACTCAGTCATGTTTCGATGCCTGCTGGCTCGCTGCTGCACCGATTCGCGTGTTTTTTTCACCCGCGCATCCTTTCCATTTTTCTGCCCACCCCCGACCCCGTCCTTCCCAAAGTCCACGGTGGGAACCGCTGTGCCCACGGAGGGCCACGGCGACTCGGATCGTTCTCGATAGCCACCTCGAATGACGGCACGATGGCGGCCCGAGCGATCTGCGCGATTTTTGCTACCCTACTACGTCTTGATAGGCCCCGTATGCACTTCTTCAACTTCTCGACGCATCTCACCTTCCTCAAAGGCCGCATTTACCCAACCAATATTTTCTACACTATGTCCCGGGTTGGACTTGCTGTGCCTGTTCGACGTTCATTAAACTCCACCTGGCTCGCTTGACTGCTTGGTAAGTGCCGACATTCAATGTACTCGCGTTGAGCACACAAGATGCGGTCGTCGTTTATTTCTCGGACACTAATATGTCATTCTAGGGCCCAGATTACGACACAGAGTCTCACACCATGCAGTCCATGCAGCCGTAGATGGGCGCCATCGCAGACACCGGTATGACATGGTTCTGTCCAGCCCACTTGGCGGCCGCTCGCGTCCGTCTGCTCCCAGCAAGAATGTTCAACATACTGCCCATCTGCATCTGAACATGTGCGCATCCTGGCTCGCCTCTAGGGCGCCCGTCGGCCGTCCGTTACTCACGATTGCGCACGCCGCCCGTAGACCGTGGAGGCGCACTCCCAGCAAGCAGGCTCCCGGACGGCCTCGACATGGCGAGGACATCCAGGAATGGCAGGTGTTTATGTTCGGCAGGCCCCCATAGACGGCCGCAATACGGCGAGCAGGCTGTGCGGTCGACTCTTTGCGGCTGGAAGCTCCAGCCGTGGTCGTGATCGTGCTGGTACTCCCAGGGGCTGTGCGTTCTACATAGAATCCGCTCTGGTGAGGTAAGTAGCGCTCCGTCTTCACACTTGACATCCACATCTGTGGTAGACTTTGCCCGGTTTGCTTGCAACGGCTCGAGGTTCTCCGGTGGTTCTCTTTGCACCGTGTTCTTGCCAAGCACACTTGGCCTTGCAACTTTGACAGCGGGTTCTTTCTCTTCTGATTCGGCAGGTGGCCGGCAGTGGTCCTTGATGTGGTTTTCTCCGAATTTTGTGCAGGATGATAGGTGATGGCCTTGCGTATCTATGCGAAGGCCTTTGAGATGTCCGGACAGTTCCCGTCGTCCCTGGTGTGTACTTTTCTGCTTGCTTATGTTGATGCTATTGTTTTTGCCTATCCTGCGCATCCTTCTCTGCGACCCTTCGTCTGTATGTTTTTGTCGGCGACTTTCGGAACTTACTGCATGCGTTCGTACAGTCATTTTCCCCGACCGCTCCACTGCTCGCCTGCATCTCCCGCGAAACGTGTCTCTCACGAGAGGGAGCTTTCACTCCACCCTATTTCGCAGTTTGGGCCCGATCTCAGGCACGCGGTTCTAAACATGTCTAGCACGCATGTTAAATATATTTTGTTGTCCTCGTAGATCCAGGTCCATTCTTGTCTACATCATACAACGTAAAGCTAACCGCTCTTTCATCATCGTCATCGGCCCAGTGGACTACCACTGGCAGTCGCGAGCGCGAGTCTGCCGGCAATGAACACATACCACATCAGACGGAACTCCACTACGTTCTCTCGGGCTGCCTCGGTTTTCCTGTTGTATATTATTCGTCTCACGGGCAGCCTTTCGCCATCGACTGCAGGGCGCCAGGCCGTACGTGAGACCGAGCGACACAGGAACCGCACGTCATCAGTATTCTCTTCGGCTGGGACGCTGGTTCCCCTTCTGCGCGTCGTACAGAGTGTTCCTGCGCACGGCGAGCTCAGTGCGTAATGCGGGGGCGCTGATTGGCCGGGACGGCGCTGGGGGGAACGCGCGCGCCGCTACGGTGATCTGCACGATCTGATTATGAGGGGAGGGAGGGATCTTCGGCAAGGCCGGTCGTTAGTCATTCGTCTTCAGCGATCAGGGCTGCGTGAGAGCAGTGGCCCGCGCACGGATGCTGGGTTGCTGCATAGCCGGGGAACGCACGGTGTGGGCATCAATGCAATATCGCCTTTGCGGGCTCGATCGTGGTTTACCCGCCCTGATCTCTGCGTGCGCAGCAGGAGCCGGGGGATGCGTCCAATGAGCGAGAGGGCATTTGTGAGGACCCATCGACGCCCAGCGCAGCCAGGATGTGAATGTGCTTGGGTCAAACACTAAGAGCGATGCAATGCGCGCGCTCCCACGCCCGGCGAAGGGTCGCTGGGGCATCTCCCGGGGTGTGCTCGCGACGGAACATCGCGGGCTGCGTATGGGATCGATGAATTGCGAAGCGGGGGTATATGAACGAAGAGGGGTGGCCATGGGGCATCGGACCCGCAGCGAAGGAGGTAGTGTATTGCGAAGCGCACGTACTGCTCCCGACGTGAAGTTGTGCAGTCAGCCACGGTAGGAAGTGAGGGCTACCAGCGAGGGCGTGGGTGGGCGTCGGATAACGAGTGGGTCCTTCCTCTAAGGCCTCGGTGAGGACTCGGGTTCGCGTTGAAGGTTGTATAGATCATGTGGAGGCCATGCATAGAAAACATGAGAGCGTAGTATCACATATGGGTGGATAGACGAGCGCAATTCAAAGTCAGTCAGAACTGGACCCGTCAGACACAGTGGTCCTGGTAGGGGAAAATATATGGGCTTCAATGCGTTGTACTTGTCGTAGGAGGGTGATATCTCCAGCCTCCATAGATGTGCCGACGTACGAGGCCGAATAGAAATTCTCAGCGAGAATCCTCGGAAGCTGTGAGATTTTTGTATATTGACATTGCACATGATGATCCTGGAGATGCGCCATTCAGAACACAGGGTATCGAGGGCCATCTCCAGAGTTCAGACCTCGTAGTGCACCAATCATTCAAGAATGGGGACCTTACGCAAGGCACTCCCGCAAACTTCGGCTGCTTTAGTCATAGTTAAAGAAGGTGCCGATGAAGGAGTCTAGCTAGATGTTATTGAAGGAAACCAACGCTCCCCACGATACCAAGATGATCACCTACTCCGGTGACGGGGACTGCACCTGCAGCTCAGTTGGACCTTGAGTCGAGATGAGTACTTTTATCCCGAGCGCATATCAAAATCCAACAGTCTAGCCGTCGTATAACGTGCGTACCTGCTCACTTTATCTTCGAGCGTGACCTAGACATTGGATTACGGATGCATGTGGGCTAGCTAGAATTCAAAATGAACGCGGTATTGGTCGGTCGAATTGGTGCTCGCGACTAGATGTCACAAAATCAACGTTATGGGGAGAGATCGTCAGATGCCGATGCCAGGCGCGAGTATTTCTTGCTAGACCATCGACCAAATTTCGAGCGCAATGCCTAGCCAGAATAAGCTACGCGTGCACATGAAACTCTTGATTACGCGGTACAGCTTTCAGAGAATGCGTAAAAATCTAACGATCCATCAGCCAACTAATTGACTTACTGACGACTACGTGAAAGGTACCCATAGCGGTCAGTGGCTGTCAAAGGACGAGGTATCGTCCAATGAATATGGATCTTCGTATCCGACGCAGCCGAGCAAATTCCATTCTCCATGCTGAGTCCCATAGAGACACAAGGGACGGCGAGTGCCAAACCGACGACATCAAGGCGAGATCAATGCGACCAGTTGTAACGAGACAACTTCAAACTATCGATATTGGACTCCATATGCGTCAACATTCCTGCCAGCTACTCAGTTCAAACATGCAAGTTGTTACTGCGAGCAGGACCACGATTTTGTGGCAAAGGGGGCACCTGCCAAATACTGTTCGTATCAGTCTTATACTATCTCGTACGCAAAAGATGGACAAGTACGTACGCTCACAGTTGATAACGTGTCACATAGCACTTTTCGCGAGATGTTCGTCCGCAAATAAGATGCCACGTCATGGAGAGCATCATCGGAATGAGAAAAGGACATTATATCTGTAAGACGGGAAGAAACTGCGGAAGTTCTAGGAGATCCATATAAGATGCTGGTGGATCTGATGCGGCTCCAAGAAAATCGCAGCATGGGTGGCCGTCAACTCTTGAAGCTTGAAGTGCAGTTTGGGCAACAAATCCGATGCAACTCACTCTGAGAGCCTGCCACGGCCACTGCTGGCAGCGATTGATGACTCAAGAGTATAATGAAAACACCTATTTTAAATATCGCCCGAACAGTTCGAAGGTGATGATCCAACAGTTATTTCAGACCGCAATCGTCATCGGGAGTGGACAGATGCCACAATGACACTTTGCTGACTTCAAAGTTCGAGCGGTTCTCAGATCTATCTTGAAGCCAAGCCGCGATGCTCGGACACCGTGATCTCGATTGAACCAATAGTGACCAGTTGATAAATTTACCGAATAGACCGAAATAGAGTAAACAAGAGAGTCTACGACACAAATAACCCAAGTACTGATACAGTTTTAGACAGTGTCCGAACAGGATGGTACAGGAGTGGTAATACATTGATGTAGCTTGTATATATGTCATCAAGACTGACCTCTAAGCCATCCGAACCGTGAAGACTGGAGATCGTCCTCAACAGACGTAGATCGCTAAGTAAGCGTCGCACTCACGTTTGCGTTGGTATGCGCAGGAGGAGGAGGACCCGAAGGTATCGTGTCATTGATGTTTGCGGATGACCCTGTATCCTCGTTAGGTTCATGTGTGGTTTCCATAGAATCTTCTTCGGGTATCTCAACGGCCATGTCATGCGAGGTCTCCTTCCTGTTATATGGCGGAGGTGGAGGCGGCGGTGTGTAGACCGGGAGCTGGCCTTCAGCTGCCGCAAAACCTGTCTGTGGGAGGTTGTCCCCCAGATATGATTGACGTCGTGCATGCCTCGTGGAGGGGTGGGGTAGTGAAGTATAGGTTTGTGAAGGAGTACTCATGGGCTGAGTAATCGGGAGCGTCGTTACAACCGCGCGACGGCGACGGCGGTAGACGAGGCCAAAGGTAATCGCCAGCAGTACAATAATGACGACCCCTATGTATATCCCGTCAACGAAACTATTAAAACTAGGAAGGGACAGTGAGCGCACCGACGATGACTCCTGCAATAACTCTCGCTGCTGTATTGTTTCCATTGTCATTCAAATTCACCTGGGCGGCGACGGTCACGATAAGGGAGAACAGGTAGCCCATGCGCAACGAGATGATCAGGATACTTGACATCGCGAGTGGTCAGATCTTAGGGACGTCGAATGAAAGTCTGAAGGGCCACCAAACTGTTGTCTGGCAGATCAATACAAGTCGGAAAGAGGCCGTGCGCAGGACCAAGACCAAGTTATAGAGGAGAGAACGGGAAAATTTGTCAGGAATGCTGCGCCAGAGCCTGCACCGGTTCAGATGAGGACATTCCGCCAGAGTAGCCATCCCGAGGGTCATCCCGCTCCGAGGGGTTGCTCCAGCCTCGGAAGGCGCCAACGCGGTAACTTTGCCGCCCGCATCGACCTCTCGGCGGTTACCGATAGGGGCCCCACGTGCGCGAGATGTCGTCTTCAACAACTTGAATGCCCAAAGGACAAGGCTGGTAGCAGTTAAACACCACTTTCCGGTGCGCAGAATCTACGGTTATGTGTAAATATGTTTTGTGCTGCTCATCGGCGACGATGAGCTTCGACCATCGCCTTCGTTTACTTTCGCCGATCTATAAGTCTAGCACTATCGCTGCTGCAGCCTAAAGTTGGTGGACTATCCCGGATATCCTTCCCGGTGCGGCGCCGATCCTGCTTATCACGTGGAACTAGAGTTCCAGCTTCGTCCCAATCTAAACGTGGGGTTCGAGTTGAGGCCAGTGGTGTCCGTAGCAAAGCTCCAGCAGGAGTCGTCATGAACACTCCACCGAGCTCCCCCTCCCAGTGCCTCAAATATCGCGCGATGGGCAAAGTAGGCCATCTCAATCCTTACGATCCTACTCTTTGACGATGATGTCCACCACCGCTATGTTGGGTGCCCTCGTCTTCATGATTTTTATTCTGTCCGAGCCCGTCGATGCGTACACCTCTACCGGAGGTGGAAGGTTTGCGGGCGGTGGAATCGCGGGCGTTGTGATAGGTGTGTCCTATCATCTTCGGATGATGCGCTCTGACCACCAGTCCGTGTACTTGCGCAGGTGCTATCATTGTCGCCTCTTTATTGTGTCTATGCCTTGCGTTCTGTATTCGACGACGACGCACGCGCAATTCATACAACACTGGGTATCCTGGAATGGGTAATGGCATGGGTGGAGGCCTGTTTGGCCGAGGTCGCCGTGCTGATGCGGAAGTCGGAAATCCAATCGGTAGCCAGCCTGGATGGAACTCCAATGGTCCGGCCGTGGCTGGCGGCCCATACCAAAATGGACCAGCACCAGCCATGCACGGAAATTTTCAACCTCCAACAGGTGTTCCTCCCTCAGGCGGCGTTTATACCAATGGTGCCCCACAGCCACCTGCGTATGGAGCTCAACAAGATACTTACGCGGCGGTGGGTATCTTGGCATATGACATTTGATTTCCAAACTGACACTGTTTGAAATTCGACCAGCCGCCAGGTCCTCCGCCTGCTGCACACACGAAGTTCTAGACTCATAGAGCAAGAATCCCTCGAATGCTTATGCCATACACACTTTACTATACCCATCGCACTCAGACTGTATCTCCAGATACTAGTCATTACATACATATGAATCTGTGACATGAAAACAAATTTATACACGACCTCTGCGTTCTTCAGACTATGTCTTGAATGGAAGTGCGTTTCACGATCGGGTTGGCACGTTCGACGACGCCGACGAGAGACGAAGGGCGCGTTTCCCGATAAGGGGCGTATCGAGATTGATGCGCCCTCCTCTCGATGCGCCGAGCCACGTGAGCCGGGCTAGGCATCACTTGGGCAGCGGCACGGCACTGTTACAGAACTCCAAGGTCTTGCCACGGTCCGCTTCGCCTTGGCTACCCCTGCCAACTCATAGGTCCATTGACCGTCTTCGGAACTTCAGAACGCCCTCGAATGGCATCGACATCCTCTTCCAATTTTTTCGGAATCTGCGATGTCTCGACGGATACCATTCTTGATGTCCCCTTCCAGTCGCCCCGACGTGCGACACGACGCGCCCATCGTCGGGAACCGCGCCCAACGTGGGAGAGATGTGTTCATGGGGGAGTGCCATAGGCGAAAGGAGCTTAGCGATGCGAAATAAGGTCGCCGGTGCGCACGATGGGTTGACCGAGTGCTTGATGTCATTCTTAGCCGATTGTACCAAGGGTCACGGCGTCCACACAGACTTCCGCACCATATGCGTATCCCAAGTATATTTGTTCAAGACATGGATTGTGCTGTCTTTGGGAAAGGGATGGAACAGATAGATTTTACGGAGGCTGTGGAGAAAGAGTTCAGCTTAGGTATTGCGCACAGGTGGGCTAGCATGGCTGGCATGCTGAGAGAATTAGTCTGGGTACTCACTTTCAGAATAGATGGCTCACACAGTCATCAAGTTACCACCGTCATGGACACTCTTGAGTACCTCGAAGCGCCGTGTACCTTGAAGCGCCGTTGAAGGCCTACAATGAGACGGGTGATCAGCCAGCTGAATGGGTAGAGAGAGATATACTTCATACATTGCTGGTGAGTATGGCTCCTGACTGTCCCTGTCCAATCGTACTCACATGTCTCGTCTTGTACGGCCGTCAATCTTGCGCAACAATTACACTTTCGGACTTCATAAAGCCACGCATATCATCGAATAACCTACATCTTTCACCTAAACCATCATGCTCAGTAGAAGCCATGCTGTCAATTCAAGTGCGCCCGTCGTGGGCACCGCTTCTCTTCATCGGAATGTCAGCCAACAATGCCACCATGCGTCTTACCTGGTATAAACATCCGTCCGAGGCCCATCGCTGTCGTGAACATATTCTACGTAAGATTTAGCCAAGGTGCTAAATCTTGCGCAGAATAGGCACACAACTCGAGCAACACCCGCACTAGATATTCCGTTGTCCGACTGAAGGTGAACCTGTGGTAGAAGGTGGATATGGGGCTCCAAGATGCCGTTCGATGCCAGATGTGTGGGTGATTGGACGGATGATGGACACAGCGGAGACGACCCATTTATACGCGCCTCCAAGCCGGCGAGCGCGGAATCAAGGAAGTGTCGCGGCATCATAGACAGGACCAAGTCCAAATCCGATTTTCCGGAACACTTGGTAAGGGGGCGAAGTGCGGTAAAATCGGAAGGTCTTTAGGCCCCCACCGACCGGATAGGACTGGGCATGGCCCAGCGCCGGGGGAGCCGGCGTACTCCGTTGTCACAGGAACGGCTCAGCCTAGCGTCGTCGCCTTCCCCGCTGCTGTTGGTGGCGGTGGAACGCTTGGGGTCGCTGCGGAGCCCCCCGCCCGCACGACCCGGTGCGAGCGGAGCAGTGCGGGGCCGCAGGCCGTGCGGAGCGGTAGGACTAGGATGGGTTCGCAGATCTTCAGTGTGGGTCAAGTGGGGAGGAAGGGAAGGTTAACTCCTGCAGAGTGGTGGTTCGCGGCTCGGATATTTATACTCGCCTAGAGGATGACCCACTTGATGCGGTGCGATGGGTGATTGGCCAGTGTCATCGATGGAGAAACAAGGAGGCCGTGAGGTGGGGGGTAGGGCGGTGTTTGTGGATGTGCTAGGGGACGCGTCAGTAGACTGCAGTCTGAGACAGGGTGATCGCAAACCTCGAGGATGGGCTGATTGCAGACACACTGTATCATCGCACGCGGTCTCAGTGCTCTCAGAGCCGATCTCCTGAGCTATGACCCAGTCTGTCGGGTCCAAATCCGCTGCGTTCGTGCGTTTTTATTTGCGGGAGAAAAGGTTATTGAATCTTAGCAGACAGAGTCAGGCGATGGGAGCGAGCGGACCTTCGATTGTCTGCCGATATTATCATGCATGAGTAAGATGAAGACAGAGACTCGTCGGCGGAGCTCGCGTCGTTCGCTAGGTGGAGGGGACTTTTGCGCCATGATGTACGTGGTTGTAGGCAAGGATGCAGCGAGGCTCTACGTGCGTCAATTCCATTTATCGTAAATGTGACCCGTTGCGGACACTTCCCAGGCTCTCACCTGTTCCACCATCTTCTGATTGTATGCTCACGATTGTATGTTTTCACGTAACTTCAAGGTCACCATAGGAGAGCAAGCAGAGATGACACGATCGGGCCCCGGGGGAGAAAGTAAAGAACACCGCTCGAAAGTATGCACGACAACGAGGGTGCAGTCGTTGTGTCTCGCAACAAGCACTAGTAAACGTGTCACTGGTTGCGAAAATGATATGGCATAACGGAATGGTAATAACAAGGGTCTCTACGCGAAGCGCCCATTTCGTCTCGTCGTATGGCCGAATTAATGCATCCCCGGCGAGCCTTTCACACTGTTGTCAGCGACGCGATGTCGGTAGTTTGCTCACACCATTCACAGTGTCACTCGGCCACCCGACAACCCTGACAAATTACGCCCGGACGTACTTTCAGATGTCATTGTGTCGCTTGGGGCTACAGATTTGCAACGGCTCAGTCTTACCGTATCTCGAGGCCAATTGGTCTGAGGATCAACACATGACTATGGATATCAGATAATCTCACATGCTGGACGTTCTCACCCGCCCAGTGTCTTTGGATGAGACTCAGAAGGAACATCTCTCGGTAAGCGCATTGTGAAACGACTACTTCGCCGGCTTTCAGGCCTGCTTTTACCTGGGCTGACATATCATGTATTGCTCAGGCCGATTGGCAAGCAGAACGTGCATGCGATCTACGCATGTTTAGTGTGTCATGCCCCGCGGTCGGCGAAGATTCGAACAGGCTGTAACGGTATGAGTGCTTGATTATCTCTCTCTCGACTTCTGCACTCCCGCCTCGAACCTCTCGCCTGCTTTCCGACGCCCTGGAACGCGCACACGAGTGCCGGTTTGCGCGGAAGGGCCTGTCGGAAGATCTATCCACCGTCCCGCGTTGCCTCCGCAGATGGGCGCACTAGGGTATACGCTACGCACGCCATCACGGGCGTCAGGTGCGGGTCGACGCTCGCGGGTCGTCTCCTAGGCCCTCAACGTCCTCACAGCCCAAGCAAGATCTGGGTAGACGCGGGCAATCGCTGCGATCTGTGCGGCCGCGCGATTGAATCGATCCGCTTGAATCGTGCGGCGAAGAAGAGCGGGAAGCTAACGTGGATCCCGTGGGGTGATTGCAGAACAGAGGAAGCCGCAGCGTGAGCGCGGACCAAGCCACGGCGCTGGCGTCCGCGCCCGAGGTGTTGCCTGAGAACCGGCAGAGGGCAACCACACACTGCGCTCTGACAAATGCGCGTGGGCCGCGGCTGGGTGGATGCGCATGGAGCGGAGACTCAGCACGGTTCTGATGCCATACCGGTATTGAATCCTTGGAGATTACAATTCCGCGTCTCTGCGATAGTACCTGGGCCCTGCGGTAATGAAGGCACACTGAAATTGACGTGTATGGGGCTATACGTCCCGAATATGTCTTTCTTAGCGAGCCTGGTCCTCCGGAGGCTGCGGCGAGTTACCATGGCGCCAACGAGTCTGTAGCTGGGCTGACTTAACCTCGGTGGTAACGGTTAGGTAACAGGGATGACACTCGCGCCCGAACCTGGCCGCCGTGAACTGCGAGTGGTGCTACAAGGTGATATTGGCCGGGAACATATCGCAGCATACGTAGAGTGTATCAAACGTTTTGCGAGCATCGTTAGCCCATTGAGAGTTGCAACTTGTTTCAATCCCACGCCCCTCTGATTTAAACAAACTCGATTCGTGCGCAATTTGAGTGTGATGTTTCCCGATATAGTGATCTGAGGCGCCGTTAAATACAGGCGCCCGCAAGTGACTGAGATGCCGAGGTGCCTTGCAACCTATCTCCCAATGCATGTAGACTGGATGCCAACATGCGGAGGGTGTCGGAGATTCAAAAACATATGGGGTCAGTGGCTCGGCATGCAAAAATATTGATGAGGCAACGCTTCGCTACATGGTGGGCCCGCGGCACTTGGCAGCGGCGTGGAAGTAAGTTCGGCATGAATAGTCGTGGAAAACAATTATGGGCCGCCAGATTTGGCATAGAGGACGTCGGAGTGGCTGTCGATGGCGAGGCCCGGCGGTGGCGGCGAGGGCGGGAGGTGGCGTGCGCAGGGCCGAGTGCGTCGGACAGAGTGCGCAGCAGGACGACAGCCTGAGGCCCTCTGGGGTGAGCGGATCGCAATCGAGGGCAACGGTGAAGCGAGGGCCAGTGAAGGTCTCTATCTAGATACAGCCGTGCTGAGATCAGCGACGGTTGCCGCTTTGGGCAGCTGTGATCTCATGATCGTGGTCTGTACGCCAGGCGCCCGTGCGGTGGCTGCGAGCTCGTCCTCGACGCCGCCGCGCACAGCGTGCTCTGCGCGTGTCTCGATGCCGCGCACGGAACGGGGACATGCCCGGGGAGCGTGGAGACCCTTGCGACCGACATTGGGCCTAGTTTCAGTCCGCCGAGACCGATATCGATGGCTTCGCACTCCCCCTCCGCGTCCCTCGCACTCCTAACCCCATTCCCCCGCCGGGTGCACGCAGCCCACACGGCGCGGACGCGAGCCTCTTTCCGACCGTCTCGTATCCCCTGCCTCCGCCGAGCACGACGTCAGCCTTCTCTCCCTCGCGTGTCCGTTTAGTTCTCCCTAGGGTCCAGCTGACACTGCGCAACCACCCACGCCCGAAATCCGGTCGCCAGCCAGCCTGGACAAAGTTCAAACATCCCTACGCGATATGATCGGCTCACGCTCCGCTCCTTCAATGTCCCAGCACCGGTGACACATCAGTCTGGATTCTAAATCTCTGTCTGATTCCAAACGCGACTACTCGCCTCGACATATAACTACTGTCCCTCCTCGTCCCTCTGTTTGGGTATTTCACCTTCTCGTCTTCTGTCCTCCCTGATATCTCCACCTGTCTTCGAAACCTAAACGTTTGACAATCTTGACATGTCTCAGAAGTTCACCGTTGCCATCTGGTATGTCCCGCAGCTGCTGAACCATCCACCGTCTGATTTCACCGATACCGCCGTCCTCCAGTGGAGGAGGTATAGGCGGACTGGCCTGTGCCGTTGCGCTGGCGCGCTATGGCGACATCCAGGTCGATATCTACGAGGCCGCCAGCCAGTTTGCAGAAATCGGTGCGGGCATCGGTATGTGGCCCAGGACGTGGAAGATCATGCAGAAGCTCGGGCTCGAGAGAGAGCTTGCCCAGGTCGCCATCGTCCCTCCCGACTTGACCTCTCGTACGTCGCCTTTTCCCTCCCTCGCCTCGTCGCTGCCCGTTACCGACCTTGCGTGTCCACCAGAGGTTGCCTTCCATTTCCGGAAGGGCGACCAGCCCGTGGGGGAAGACTTTTACTCCATGTCTACGCCTGGTACGTCACTGGTACCTGTTTCCCACGTCGCTCCCGTCCCTGGCTGACCAGCCCCAAGGCGGGCTCATCACCTTCCGCCGCGCAGACTTCCAGGCCGTCCTCCTCCGCCACATCCCCCCGTCCTGCCGCACATACACCAACAAGCGCCTTGTCTCGTACTCCCAGTCGCACACGCGGCGCGCGTCGCTCGGCGCGCCCCCTCCCCCGATTACGCTGCGCTTTCAGGACGGCACGACCGCGACGTGCAGCGTGCTCATCGGCGCAGACGGCATCAAATCTGCAACGCGCGCCGCGCTCGTGCGCGAGCTCGCCGAGACGCGCGTGGCTGAGGGTCGCCTGCGCGAGGCAGACGAGCTGCGCCGAATGGCGGCCCCGCGATGGAGCGGAACATGCGCATACCGCGCGATAATCCCGGCCGACGTCCTCCGTGCACGGCTCCCCGGCCACCGTGTCCTCCACCAGCCCATGATGGTCAGTGTGTTCGCGCGCTCATGGTTTCTCGCGGCTGACGCCCGTCCGGGAATTTTCTGCTTTTCCAGTACTTTGGGAAGGACACGGTGAGTCGCGCTTTGGGGGGCTGATTTTCTGCATGCGGGGCGCTAACGGGGGGACCCTTTCTGCTTCCATGCAGCAAATTACGGCGTACACGATTGCGCGCGGCTCTATTGTGAACGTCGCCGCTTTCCATGCCGACTATTCGCGGGAGGACACAACGTTCGATCGTCCCTCGGTCGAGGATGTGCTACCAGAGCAAGTGCTGCACGACTTTCGCGATTGGGAGCCGGAAGTGCAGGCGTTGTTCCAGGTAATTGCCACCCCACGTGTTCGCCTGCCGCCTTGCTCAAAAAATGTGCCTCTCTAGAGCATACCAAAGTCGTCACGATGGGCGGTACATACGGTGGCGCCGTTGCCGTCTTTTGTCTCGGGGCGAGTTGCGGTGCTGGGTGATGCGGTACGTGCTTGTTGTCATGATCTCCCCCCGGTTTCTTGCTCACATCGCGCCGATTGGCATGCCCAGGCACATGGAATGATGCCCTACCAGGGGTCTGGAGCGGGACAGGCCGTTGAGGTGCGTGCTCAATCCTGCGAGGGTTTTATGGCACAGCACGACGCTGACTGCTGTCGTTTTGACGACACTCAGGACGGGTATATTCTAGCTGTGCTCCTAGGCCACAAGAACACTACAGCGGGTACTCTAGCACGCGCGTTGCAGGTCTACGACGCCATACGACGACCATTCGCACAGGGTGCGGCAGCGCGTTCGCACCTAGGCGGGCTGCTATATACCTTCAATGCGCCTGGCTTCACACCGTCCGAGCTGAACGCAGGCGGTGCACCGAAGCTCGTCGAACTCGCGGAGCGCGTGCGCCAGAATTTCAAGTGGGTGTGGGAGACCTCGCTGGATGTGGATGTCGAGCGAGCGGTAAAGATGCTCGAGGGTGGGGCGGGGCCGACGACGCGCGGGCGGAGCCCGATGGACAGGTGGCGAGGCGCGGCGCCGGTGCGCGTGTAGGGCTGTGGGGGAAGAGATCAGGGAAATATACCCGCGCGGGCACGCCCCGCTCGTTGGATGGGAAGACAACATGGAGAACTGGGGGTGTTCCGTGCGACGGGAATGGACACTGAT